GATATTTATGTAAAACACGATTAAATTCTAACGTTTAACGTTAAATATTAATCGTCAATTATATTCAATGAATAATTATTGTATCGTGTCGTTGTCAATTTTTAGCTTTTACACGAAATCTATTATTCGAGTATTTTCAATAATTATATAATATAAATAATATAATATAATATAATATAATAAACACGTGTGTGTACATAGTTTTAAGATGAAAATTTAGAAACATTATAATAACAAAATCCAAGTCTTCCATTATGATAGTTCATTTAACGATTAATTAATATTAATATAAACTTAAGAAAATGAATTCATCCACCTATACGTGTTATCATTATTAATTGATAAGTAAGAAATATTGTCTGTGTATTTTCATCGGCGAAGAAAATGAATTATTTTTCGTTTAAGTCTTTCTATATCTGTCTAATTAACAATCTATTTATCTATAAATCTATCTATCTATCTATCTATCTAGATCTTCCTTTCTAATGCAAGAAATAATCATATTACGTGAGATAAGAAATGTGTACAAAATATACGATTCGTTAATCTTGCGCCGTTAAAAAAAAGAAGTTGTGACGCGACAATAAGATGTAGATTTTAGAATGCCTATGGATAAGATGTAACGCTAATTTTTCTACTATTTTTAACGATCGCAAATTATATTAACGTGCAAATATGTTTGTATTCGTTGATATTTCATTTTTGATAATTAATTTTAACCAATTTTCTTGACCGAATAATATATATGTAATAATAGTTATACAGAAGTATTTTAATATACATCAAAATACATATATATTTTTATTATTTCAACTATAACTATTTAAAATTCAAACGTTTACAGTTTATGTTTAAAAAATAATCTGCTTTATTATTTTATTAACACATTATTACGCGATGGTTAAAAATAGGGTTAAGGTAGCGATCAAATAATTCATTATTTAGGCTATACTTTTAAGAATAAAATAACTTGTAAATATATTCACACACACACGTACATTATATTGTTAAGAAAAATAATGGTAATTATTTGAAAATAGGAGATAAAACGGGGTACCAAAAAATAATAATATATTTCAAAAATATTATATATATCTATTAAATTACAATCTCATTGTAATATCAATACACATGATACATAATATAATGTTAAGTAACTATAACTTTAATCTCGAATGTAATAATAAATCGATTCGTTTAAGCAAACAAAAATTTCTGCGTTAAAATAATTCCATCTCTCTGTCTTGTATATATAAAATAAAACAATTAAAAAAAAAAAGCCAAGAATATGTTGAATCAATAAATTTACAATATATTCAATTCATTTAAATAATGATTGTATAATTAATCGATCACATGAAGACTTCTCGAGAAATGAATTTAAAATATTTTAGACTATAGTAGAATAAATGTTTTATCGATTTAGCAAATGACTATAAGAAACTCTGATTTATTGATCGAGTAGAGATAGTCAAGAGTCACTGTTTTATTACATGAGCAAAAAAAGTTCAGTGATAATACAGTTATGATTTATATAGATTGTTAAGCAAAATTTATAATAAGAGAATTCTACTTAACCGACTACTAGCTATGATTATTAATAAAAAAATTCTGTTTTATCGATTAGTAGTAGTGATTATTAACAGAGTTCTATCTTACCGATTGTAAGCTTACCAGATAATAGTAGGTTTTGTATAGTCAAAGAATATTGAAGTATATAGAGGCTCACAAGTCCCCTTTTTATCTGACCAGATTAATTTTAGTTACGATCAGAACCACCAGTGGGCGATAGAAGATACTTAAAACTATGACTGTGATATCTTCTTTTTTCAGAAACGTTTAAAAAGTCACATAAAATAGATAAAAATAATAAAATCAGAGAATTTACATCATAATTTCTCTTTATTACAAATAAAATTCTCGTTAGACACATGCGCAACGTTCGGAAAGTCATATAAACAATTTTTAATAACAGAATTTTCATAGAA